ATATATAAAAAGAGCCGCGGATTGGGCGGGTTATTCTCACTATCGAGGCTAATAAAGGATAGGATTTTCTTTCACTAAAGCTTAAGGAAATGATGTCCGGGACTAAGCCTCGTAATCGCTTCTATTCTCGCAGTTACTACCGGTTGAAGATTGGCAAATAACTCTCAAAAGACAAAGAAACTGCTTTCGGTTTTACAAAATAATGAGTCATTACATGTGAAAAGTAATGATAGAGATGAAGAGGCAAAGTTTATTTTCATAAAGAATCTATCAAAAGATGTAGTGCCTGATGCAATAGGTTTCTAAAGAGAAGGAAAACAAATTTGAAAAAAATACATAAAGTGTAGAGAAGAGTGAAGTGCGTGTTAAACTATCTCTTTCAGAAAAGCTCAATTCCAGACTTTTCAAAGTGCGTATAATGTTTGAAGTGGTTACTTCAAAGAGTTAGAATTGAAATGCAGGAATATTTGCGTCTGTCAACTATCCTTTGATTTCTGACCAGCATGATATATAGATGTTGGTGGTTTCGTTGAATTAAAGCTGGGATAGTCCAACCAATCCAAATCGGTTCTGTGTCCTCTGTCGTCTTCCGCAGTTGCATACCTATGCAACCTAGCATCTTCTACGGGACCGACTTGAGTGGTTTTTCTTCCTTATCGCGAAATAATGTTGGCGGGTTGCAGATCTTATAAGTTCTTAGGACGAATGTCTAGATGCCCAACTCTGCTCCATATGGAAAAATAAAATAAGAATAATCGTGGTTTTTGTTCCCTTGATTTTTGTATCAAATCATTTGCAATATGGCTTTTTTACTCATTCGATAGAAATTCTATTCTAGTAGAACTGGCAACTGCGGTACTTACAGTTTTAAACATTCAGCTTCATATAAAGCAAACTACAGAGGAGATTGAGGAGTTGTCAGAAATATCTATAACGATCTTTTCTTTAGATAACCAGTGATTTGATCGAAGCTGGTGCTGCCGGCCGTTTGAGACTGATTGGAAGAGCTGGCACAGGAGTTGACAACATCGACGTCCCATCAGCCACCGCAAACAAAGTCCTTGTTATGAACACACCTCGTTAGTGGTCAACAGTCTTCAAAGAATGCCGTTTTATCTCTAACCTGTGGTTGTTTTTTAAGAAATAAAATAATGCAGAGTTTTTTCAGAGGCCAATTCTCGATCTGCAGCTGAGCTGACTTGCACTCTCATTCTCAGTCTCACACGACATGTTCCACAAGCTGATGCCTCTATGAAGGCTGGCAAATGGGCAAGGAAAGAGTATATGGGAGAAGAAGTAAGCCCGATGTTGATTGAAACAACAGATTCCACTTTTGAGCGGTTTAAGATTTAAGTATCAGTTAGACTAAAAAATTCATCTTCATTGAATCCTAAAGCAACTCTTACCATCATACATTCATAAAGACTTCCACACTTTGAAAGTATAATCGAGTTCCACGTCAAGTTTATGATCATGTCATCTACCAGACGACCATACATTCGTATACTAGGACATCGTCGCAATTCAAGTATAATTTTATCAATTCATGGTCAGAGAATAGTCATAGAGAGATTGTGTCTAAACTAGTAAAATACCTGTAAGCGTTGCAAGGTGGGCAAAAATTCACAAAAGCTCTAGAAATAATAACTTGGAATGATGAAAATTTTGAATTGGTGTATCTACGACACCTCTATGCTTTGAACATGCTAATATAATCAAATCGAATTGGATGCAGTAAATGGGCGAAATGGTGGTTTTTCCCTCGTAGTCCGACATAGCCATTTTTAAAACCTGAGTTGTTGCACGAAAATAGCTTAGGCTACAGGTGTTTGGACGCACTCTAGCAGTTTTGGGTCTGGGCAGAATCGGCACTGAAGTTGCGACACGTCTCCAGGCTTTTGGAATGCGAGTCATCGGATACGACCCTTTGTACTCTCAAGAGGTTTTTTCAATCAAAGCGTTGTATTGCTGTAAGAGTCATAGTCAAATTTTAGCAAGCAGCAGCAAGGAACATAGAGCTGCTAAGTCT